CGCAGCGCCGGCTCCTGACCTTGCGGCAGAAGGTGCTGTCCGAGGATGGGCACCGGCTCTCCGATTCCAGCATCCGCTTCCAGGTGAGGGGCACAGCCCCCTCAGGGGATGTCCAGTCACAGGGTGCCCCCCGCTGCCATCTCCCCACCACCCCTTCCCTTCCCAGATCAGCACAGAGGCCTCCTCAGGCACCCCTGCCCGCCCTGCCCTCCGCAAGCCCCTGAAGCCGGCACTGAAGCGGGTGCCCAGCAGCCCTGCTGACAGCCCCCCTGGTGAGTCTGCATGCAGCACACCCCGGCCCCCCCATGTCCCCCCACTGACACCCCCTCCTCACCCACAGCTGGCGCCACCGACCACACTGGCATCGCCCTCAAGAGCCTCTTCTGTGCCAACTCCGCCGCAGAGCCCACTGAGGTGAGATCCTGGCCCTACCCAGCCCTGCCTGGCCCTCTCCAGGTCTGCCCATCCCTGTCCGGCCCTGCCTGGCCCTGCCCAGCCCTGCCTAGCCCTTTCCAGCCCTATTCTTTTCTCATCCCTTTCCAATCCTGCACAACCCTGCTTGTCCCTTCCCATTCCTTTCCATCATTCCCAATCCCCACCCATTCCTTCCTGGCACCTTCCGTTCCCTGCCCATTTCTGCCTATCCCTGCCCCTCCTCACCCATCCCTGCCTGTCCCATCCCTTCCCTGCCAATGCCTGCCCATCCCTTCCCATCCCATCCATGCCCATCTCTCCCCATTCTAGCCCATCCCTACCTGTCCCTGCCCATCCCATCCCATCCCATCCCATCCCATCCCATACCTGCCCATCCCTGCCCATACCTGCCCATCTCTCCCCATCCAAGCCCATCCCATCACATCACATCCCACTCCATCCCACCTCATTCCATCCCATCCTACTCCACTCCACACCCTGTCCTAACTCCGCTATCTCTCCCACGGTGCCAGGCCCAGGGCACAGCCTATCACAAGGCCAAACGCGTCCGCATTTCCATTGTGGTAAGCTGCAGCCAATCACAGCCTGGGCACAGCTCCTCTCAGCCAATCAGAGCCTAGCATGGGTTCTCTGAACCAATCAGATTATGTCTGGCCAATAAAATCAGGCCTGTGTCTGTGCAGCCAATCCTGGACAGCTACAATTCTGTTCAGCCAATCAGTTCCAAACCTTCCTGGCCAATCAGGACATGGAGCCTCTCAGCCAGTCAGGGCTGTGGGACCTGCCCCATTTTGCTCAGCCAATCATGACACCCCTTGCATTTTCTCCACCAATCAATCATGAGCTTGGCTTGTCCAATCTGGGCCAATCAGGGTGTGACCAATGTCCTGTCAACCAATCACATTACCTGACCTGCTCTGCCCCAACCTGCCCACGTGCTGCCTGCACCCTGCCTGCATGTGCTGCCTGTATCCTGCCCATACCCTGCCTGCAGCCAGCATGCAGGCGCACTGCCTGCTGCCCTCTGCGCTGCTCCAACATGCCTCTCTTGCAGGAGGAGATGATCCTGGGTGACAAGATGACCCCAGCAGAGGTGAGGGGGTGGGCAGGGGTGGGTAGGACCCTACCTGCCCACAGGGACTCCGGAGATCCCAAGGGGTTGCCAAGGCGTGAGGTGGGCAGGGGAGGTGGGGGTGGATGAAACAGATTTCTCCATAACACCAAGTGTGGGGAGGATGAGGGGGCCCTTGCTGGCACCTGGGGGGAAGCCATGCCCCTAATCCTGCCCAATGGCACACCCCTCCCAGATCCTGGAGTGGGAAGAGCAGCAACTGGACCAGCTGGTGGACTTTAGCAGCGCCAAGATTGACCCTGCACCCTTCCAGCTGGTGGAGCACACCTCACTACACAAGGTGCGCCCACACCCCACCCCAGACCCCCACCCACACCCGCCCTGACCACCAACTCAGCACCTGCTCCTCCTGCAGACCCACACCATCTTCTCGCTGCTGGGCTTGGACCACGCGTTTGTCACCAGCATCGGGCGCCTGGTGGGCATGGTGTCCCTCAAGGAGGTGAGCAGGGGGGGTGGCAGACTTGGAAGGGCACAGAGCAGAACCTGGAACTGTTTGCCCACGTTTTTGGGGTACCCACAGCTGCGCAAAGCCATTGAGGGCTCAGTGACGGCCAAGGGGGTGAAGGTGCGCCCACCACTCGCCAGCTTTCGCGACAGCACCGCCAGCACCAGCGACGCCGACACCACAGCCCTGCGCCAGCTCTGGGACCGCCACCAGCACCACCCCATGCCCCGTGAGGCCAGTCCTGGGGGCGATGATGATGATGACACTCCCAAGGGCCAGTGAGTCCCTTGAGGTCCCACCTGTGTCACCAGAAGCTGCAGGGGCCCCTGGCAGGTGCCAGGGAATGCCTACCCTGTGCCCACTCACACCAGGCTCAGCACAGGAGTGAGCACCCTCAATCCAGTGCCGCTGCCCCCTCCCTGTGCTGGGGATAGGTTGGGTGCCCCCCCCACCTGCCCCTGCTCCCCAACTACCTGCCAGCTCTTGGGGCTTCCCACTTTGCTACCTCTGCACTTTCCGAAGCCCCCGGTGCCCCCTGGAAGGGCCACTGTCCCTACCCCTCCATGGGCACCACAGTGTCCCTGCTTGGGGTAGCCCAGGGAGGCAGAGGGGCATCAGATCAGGATGCCTGCAGGGACAGGGGTGGGCACTGCCCCCTGTCCTCAGCGCCTCCTAGCCTGGGAATGGGGAGTCCTGCCGCCTGTCTGCTGGGCACCCCTCCCCCTGTAAATACAGAGATTTTTATATTAATTTAATAAAAGGACTTTATAAACAGAGCCAGAGCACTGAGGAGCTGAGGGTATGGAGAGGCACAGCCAGTGAGCACCAGCTGAGCCTCACCACAGCGCCGGGGTTGGGATCACTTGGGGCAACGAGCCTTTCATTGCCCAGTGCCGCTCACAGCGTGGCCTCGCTGCGGTACAGCAGCGGAGGGGGCTGGCCAGGGCGGGCACCGGCACGGCGCCGGGCTGTGATGACCAGAGTGCCGGCTTCAGTGAGGGTGCAGCTCACCGACAGCGGGTCCGTGTCCTCTGGCAGCTGGCACTTGTGGGTGAAGGTATCACAGACAGTGCCATCCTCAGCCACCTGTGGGAAGGCAGCACCGGTGCAGTGGAATACGGCGTGGCATGGTGGTACACAGCACATCCCCAGTTAAACCCAGTGCTACTAATGGGGCAACTGCCAGTCACCCTGGCTCCAGCAGGAAGCTCAACAGGGCAGTTCCCAGTGACTCGGGGACAATTCCCAATTACCCCATTGCCAGCAGGGAGCAGCTACCAGTTGCCCGAGTCTTGTGAGGTGATTTCCAACTACTCCAGTGTCAGCAGGGACTGTTCCCAATTGCCCACCTTCAGCAGAGAATGCAGTGGAGCAGGAGTTCCCAGTTGCCCCATTCTCGGTGAGGACAGTTCCCAGTTACCCCACTACACGAGAGGTGCAGTAGAGCAGGAGCTACCTGTTGTCCCATCACTAGGGCACAGGTCCCATTTATTACCCCAGTGCCAGTAGGGGCCATTCCTCAGTTACCACCCCATCCCCCCACCCACAGGAGAGGGGTGTCATGGGGCAGGATCCCCACTGTACCATGGCCAAGAGGGGATGCTGCCCCCTCGGTGTGCCTCACCTTTTCTGCCTGGATGGAGACATGGCAGTTGGAAGTGGTCACCACAATGTCAGGGGGCTCAAACTGGCTGACGTCGGCCACCACTTGGTAGGTGTCACCCTGGGCACGCACCCAGGTGCCCAGGCTGCAGGGGTACATGGCACCTGGGGACTCTGCGGGCATTGGAGGGCTAATGGGCATGGGGACACAGTGCCCGGGGATGGGAGGCTGTGGGAGAGTCTGGTGACACTGGGAAAGGGAGTGCTGGGGGTAGCAGCACCAGTGGGAGTTTGGGGACACTGAAGGTGCTGAGGTAGTTGCAGGGGGAATTGGTATTCCGGAGTAGGGGGGTACTGGGTGATCTGGTGTGGTCCGGGGGTAGAATAAGGAAATGGGGGGTCTGGATGAGGGTAGTGGTAGGGTCTGGGGGCACTGGACAACCTGCAGACAGCAGGAAAATAGCACAAGAAGCTAAAAACACTGGTGATGACCAGGAAAGTCTGGAGGCAGCAGGCTGGTGGGGAAGAGGGCACTGGAGTTACTGGGGGTGTACAAGAAAGGGGGGGTTGGCTAACAGGGAACATCAAGGGGTCTGGGGCACAGAGGAGCTGAGGACATAAGGGCAGCCGGGATGGTTGGGGTGGACTGGAAAAGGCTATGAGTAGTTCTGGGGACACTGGGAGGCTCAGAATTGTCTGGGGAGAGGGTAGCAGGGAGCATAGTGGTCCTGGGGACAGCCAGGACACTGGAGGTACTGGGGACTTACAGGGAGAGCAAAAAGCACCTGGGGGGGATGAGGGTTGGGTAACAGTCCAGATAGCCACAGGGCACCTGGGTGGCAGTCAGGGTTCCCCTTCCAGCCTTCCCAGTCCGTGCAGGGGGGACAGTCCCACTCTGTGCCCAAGCACAGGGCAGCTGGATAACCCTTAGAGGGACCCTCCCCAGGGTAGCAGGGCCCCCCACTCCCCATCCCTGGTACCTGGATACCCAAACACCTCATGTGCCCGTGGCCCAAAGGGTCCATGCCGCCGTTCGCCCTCGAAGCGGGGTTCACCATGGCCCTGCCCATAGGCACTGATGAGCTCGGCATGGTACGCCGCGGCTGAGCTGAGCGATGCCATGGCGCCTGCTGCCCGCACCCCCCAGAGCCCTGCCCTGGGGAGGGTCCAGCCGCCCGCCAGACACCACTGCCAGATGCCCATAATTAGGCACCCTGTCCCTAGGAATGCGAGATAAGGGACGATGCCTGATGCCTCCGTCACCCTGTGGGGCCGCGGAGGGGGATACATCACTGCCACCACTGGCCTGCCACTCCTCTGGCCCCCCGGGGAGGAGGTGCCCCCACCTGCAAGAAGAGGTTCCCGGCGCAGCGCTCGCTCGCACAATTGACTTTATTCAAGACCTGGCAGGATAGAGGAGGGGGTGCCACGGTGTGGACACCCACAGGTACCGCCGCAGCGGGGTGGGGGGGCTCAGGCAGCCCCACAGATATGCACATGCGTGCACATGCCCATGCGCTCCCAGGTGTGCACATGCACACACACACAGAGCAAAGCCCCCCACCCACCTGCAGGCACCCCAGACTCACCATCCCATCCTATCCCTGTACCCTGGGGAGCATCTGCTGCCCTCGGGAGGGAATGGCAGCGGGTGGCAAGGAGCCCATTGGCACGGCATCAGGCCTGCCAGCCCCTGCAGCCCCTCATAGTTTGGCGATGGAGGGGTGGAGTTGGGGGGCAGTCCCACAGTGGGCACCCCAAGGCAGGGAGGGAGAAGAGGGGCTGTGCCCAGCAAAGGCTTGTGGGGGTGCTGGGGGTGCACAGGAGCAGGGGTGCAGCAGGTGCTTGGGGCACCCTGGGATGAGAGGCCAGGGGACCACGGCCAGGCTGGGTGAGGAGCAGCATGCAGGGGGAGAGTGGCCCTACAAGAACACGTGCCATGCGGGAAGGGGCGTGCAAGCGTTGGCAAAAACTGGCATTCCTCCCCCAAACCACGTGCCTGGAACCCCTGGCATGGGCTTGCAGGGCCCCCGAGGTGGGGGTGCCACTCCCAGCCAGGACGGGGTGGGGCTGGTCGCCCTTCATGTAGGCACTTGGTTCCCTGCTAGTGGTGAGTGACCTGGGGACAGGGACATCAGTCCCACTGCCTACCCCCTCTCTCCACCCAGCATTGCCTCACAGCAGATTTGGGGAGCCCTGGCTGGGCTGAGCCCCTTGCTGAAGGGCTGGCTTGGGGCTGCTGTCCTGGTGATCCAAAGCCACCATTCTGAGTGTCCATGCCCACCTGGCCCTGCAGTCTTCCTGTGCCAGCCCCATGCATGTACAAAAGTATAGAAAGTCCCAGCACCACTCCCAGAACACCCAGCACCCCCACAGCATCTCTCTGGCAGCCCCATGTACCGAGGCAGCAGTTCACAGTTTAAAACTCGGTCTGATAAAAGCTGGCCAGGGAGAGAGGAGAAAAGCCCCTCCCACCCCAAATGGCCACCACCATCCTGGCTCAGGGTGGTGGGGGCACCACGGGATGCTCAGAGAGTTTCAGCCATGCCAGTGGTGGGGGGGTGGGGGCCTGTGCCCAAAAGGGGAGCCCAGGGTGGTTTGGGGGAAAACATGCGAACAGTCAGCCCCACTTATTTAGTCTTGTTAGTTTTGGGGGTCACATCTGGGCATCAGGGTGGGGGACGGACCCCCCGAGCCCTTCCCTGCGCCTCTTCCCTGCTCTCATGCAAAAATCCAGGAGGGCAACGATGTGGCCAAGCAGGGCCAGGGCACAGTGGGGGCACACTGGCTGGGGGGGCTGCAGTGGTCCCCCGAGCCCCTCCTGCGCCCGGATAGCGAGGGGGAGCAGCAGCAGGGCCCGTCCCTTGCCCAGTATGGGGTCTGGCCAGAGGGCTTCGGTAGGGGGACTGGGCCCCCACCAGGAGAGGCAGGGCACCCTGGGGGGCGTCAGGGCTCTTCAGCGTCCTCCTCCTCCTCCAGCGATGCCACCCCAGAGGAGGCGACATCGGAGACTTTCCGGCGCAGAGGGAAGTCCTTGCTCAGCACCACCTCATCCTCCGCGGGCGAGAGGCAGGCTTCGGCGTAGGACACGGAGTAGAGGGAGTCCTGGCACCGGAGCCGTGCCAGGCCCCGCAAGGCACTTTGGCTGGCTGGGGGTGGCAGCTTGGGCAGCAGCAGGTCCTCGCCCCCCAGGGAGCCCAGTAGTTTGGCAGTGAGTTCGGAGGGGGACACCATCTCCAGGCTGCAGAGGCTGGAGCAGAGAGTCTCAGGGGAGAGGGTGTGCGAGGAGTCGCTCTCGGGCTCGCAGGAGCCGTGCCGCACACCCAGCTGGCACAGGTGGCCCTGCAGCAGGTCTCGCAGCAGCGCACTGGCGGGCATCGTGCCAGACAGCTCTGTGGAGAACCAGGACACTGGGTCAGTCCAGGGCTGAGGGCACCATGGATGTCAGCTGCCCCCTCCACTGTGCCCAGCAGGTTGGGAGCACTCCCATGACCCCTTTGCCCACAAATTGCTGCATGCACTGTTAACCACCAAAGGAAAAGCAAAACATGCTCTGGCACCAGGGAGGGTGTCACGTTGAAGGGCTTCCCCATCCCTGGCATGGGCACTGTTTGCCATGATGCCAGGCAGGAGCACTGCCCTGTGTAGAGATGGCCAGGCTGGGGAATGTGCCAGGCAGCTCCTTCAACCCTCAGTGGTGGGACACCCACAGTGGCAGCAGGGCCACTTGCCTGCTCCCCATGGCACTTACCGGTGGCCTGGGAGCTCTCTGTGGAGGGCAAGAAGTCCTCGTCATAGGACTCGTCATTGGAGTCGTCCCCATCCACCGAGGACCAGGCTCGCAGCTTGGCCTCAGCGATGGCAAACTGCTCTGCCACCCCTGGCACAGGACAGGCACAGGTCAAATGCATGCAGGGAGGTGCCCCCAAATCCCCCTGCCCCAGCACCTCTATGCCCCCAGTGGATGGATGGATGGATGGATGGATGGATGGATGGATGGATGGATGGATGGATGGATGGATGGGGACAACCTGTCCCACCACCCGTGCCCTCGGCCACAGTGAGGACCATGCCCACCGGTCATGCCCCACGGTGCCCACCGGCAGCAAATCGCGCCTCCTGCTCGCCCTCGCTCAGGTGGCAGTAGGAGCTGAAGGCGCTCTCCAGGGCAGCAGGTGACTCCACTGGCTTACACCAGCCCTTCCACTCGATGAGGTGGGCCACGCGGCCCTGCGCCATGGCTGTCGGCTTCGTCACGTGCTCCTTCACCACTTGCGAGATGCCTACGGGATGCGTCCCCATGTCAGCACCCCAAGTGTCCCTCACAGAGCTCATTGCCCTGGGATCCAGAACCCCCCACCTCCAGCCCCTGAGACCTGGCAATCCCATGCCCTCCTCTTGGGCACCAGGGACCCCTTGAGCCGCCCAAACTCCACAGGGTTGACCTCCACGCCCTCCCCAGGAGGCCCAGACCACTCATCTCAGGAGAGCCCCTTGCCCAGACTCACCGTGCAGTGAGGAGCGGGCCAGGGCAGCAATCTCCTGGATGGTCAGCGCGCGCCGCGACTTGGGCAGCATCTCGACAGTGTCCTCAACATTGACCTGCCAGAGTGAGCAGCAGTGTCACAGACCCTGGCACCACTCCTCTTCTGTGAGCCCCATGCTCTAGGAATTGGTCTCAACCTCACTTGGTGTCCACCCCAAGGAGCCTGGGGTGTAACATATGCACACGTTATAGACATACATGTGTGCAGAGGGGTGGCCACAGTCCCTGCATGCAGGGCAGTGGATATACTCACCTGTGCCTGGGTGCACTCTCCCACACTGTACAGCCATGATCTGACACTGTGTGCACATGCACTGCGCACACTCACACCTGCACTCTTACCTGTGCACACACAGATGTGCTCAGTGCACACACACTGGCACTTGTCCACTCAGGTAAACACATGTACACACAGACAAGCAAATGTGAGTGAGACGGGGGCACACCCTCACTGTGCACACATGTGAACTTGCTGTACACGCAAGTGCACCTGCACACTTGTGTGCCCACACATGTGTGTGCCCTGTGCTACTTGGTGCCACTGACTCCCCAGCTTGTGCACATGCACGTGCAAGGCCAGCATAGGCGGATTCCCCAGCACCCACTCCCTGGCAGCACACACACTACGCCAGGACATCCCGCTGCGTGTCCCCATTGCTATCTCGGCCATGCCAGGCCCTGAGCCCATGGCCACGGGGGAAGCGATGTGGGATTTGGAGGCGCGCAACAAATTGCATTGCCATGGCAACGAGGCACCGTGGACTGATTTCTCCCAGGATACAGCCCGGCTCATGGCTGACGTCAGAGCAGCCTCGAGCTGCTGCGAGATGGCAGGGCCATGGCCAGGACGGGTGCCCCACCATGGGGTACCAGCACACAGATACCCCAGCCGGGCATGTCTGGGCTCAGTGGTACCTGGAGGAAGTCCTGGCTGTCGAAGGAGGCCTGGCGCACCAGTCGGGGCAGTGGGCGGGCAGCACTCAGTGGTGACAGTGCCTTCACCTCCTTCCACTCCACACAGAGCGTCGTGTCCACGGCCACTGCAGGAAGAGCCGGGGCCAACCTCAGCACCTCTGTCCCACCAGCAGCCCCCTCAACCCCCCACCCTGCAGTAGCAGCTTCTTGCCTAGTCTGAGACCAGACACAACTCGTTGCTGCAGCACCAGTGACTCATGCCCGGGCAACTCTTCCACCTGTGTCAGCGGTAACGCAGGGCCCCAACCTGGCACTGGGGACCAGGCGCCTGTCCGAGTTTGGCAGCTGCTTCAGCAGGGATGGGGCAGCTGGACCAGGCTTGGGGGCATGGACCGGGCCAGGGGCTGGGTGTGTGGAGGAAGGCAGCACCGGGCCATGCCTGCGGGGGGCTGGTGCACCTCCACTGTCTCCAAAACCCCCCTCTCCAATTCCCCATCTCTGGGGCAGGAAGGAAAGAAGCAAGAAGGAATAGGGGCAATAAACATACCCATCCTTCACTCCAACAGCATGACCTCCTGGCAGTGGCACCCCAACTGGATGACTGCTCACACCCTCGGGCACTGACTCCCAAGCACTTGGCCCAGGGAGAGGGTCTCCTATCACTGCAGCCCCCTGGACAGGCCAGTCCCAAAGGGGATGGGGTGTCCCTGAAGAGCCTAATTTCCACTGCACCGAGGTGGGCCTGGCTGACGTAAACCAGCCATGAAGCGGGATATAGGGGGGGCAAGCAGTGTTCCCTCCCACCCACATCTGAGGGTAGACCCTGGCTCCTAAAGAAACTGCTGATAGGATCGCTCCCACTCCCAGCTGTGGGCAGGGGCACCCTGTGGTGACGTTCCAGCATCAACAACTCTACCCCCTTAGCAACAACACCCCCAGAGCCCCGCTGGCACGTCTGCAACACCCTCGACACTGTCCTAGCCCCCACCGACCCAGCTCCCAGAACACCCTCAGATCACACCCACAACCTCCATCACCTCCATCCCTCCTGCAACACCCCCAAGACATCTGCAGCACCCCCTTTGCACCCCACACACTGCAGCACACCCCTGCCAGCCCCCATAGCCCATCCAATAGCCCCCCAAACACCTCTATCTCTCTCATAGCACCCCTGTAACCTCCCAGGACTCTGACCAGCACCCTAATCCCCCAAGCCCCTTGCACCCCCACCAGCACCTCCAGAGCAGCAGCCCAGCCCCTCTAATCCCCCAAACCACTACACATCCTCATGTCCCTGTACCTCCCCGCACTCCCTGGACCACCCAGCTGCCCCAGAGCAGCACCCCGAGCTCTCAAACCCCCACCCATCTATAGTCCCCATCACCCTATATGTACCCAAGTCCCCCAGAGCCCTCAAGTTCTCTGCACCCTCACCATACTTAGATACCCCAATTCTCTGTGTATTCCCCCCACCTCCATAACTCTCCATATCCCACAGCCCCCAACCCCCATACACCACCACTCCATCCCTTAGACCCCCCTCAGCTCCCCTATGGAAGCCCCGTGCTCTCCACCTTCCCATATCCCCCAGCCCTGGTAGCCTCTGACACCCTCATTCCAGCCCCTCCACCGTCCCCAGCAGCCCCCGCACACACCCCCTTTCCATCCCCAAAACACCGTCCATACTCTAGGACCCTCAAACCCCTCAAGCCCCCGGTCCCATCCCGGTGCCGCTCACCCACCGATGGTGGTTTTGGAGCCGATGCAGCCCATGCTCCCGGGGGGGGCCCGGTGCGGGCACTACCGCCGGCTCCGCGCCGCCCGCATCGCCCCCCGGCCGCATGGGCGGCCCCGGGCAGCGCCCGCGCCCCGCCGGAGCCGCTGCCGGGCCGGGCCGGGTCGCGGTACCGGAGCCCCGAGCGATGCCGGAGCCCCGGGCGATGTCTGCGCCGGGCCGGGAAGCAGCACGTCCAGAGACGTCACTGCTGGGGGAGGAAGAGGAGGGAGAGGGGGAGGCGGGAGGAAGAGGAGGAGGATGGGAGAAGAGGAGGATGCGCGGGAGGAAGGCTGAGAAAGAGGAGGCGGAGGGGGCTGAAGGATAAGGGAGAGGAAGGAAGGGGAGAACGGGGGAGAGGGAGGTCGAGAGGAAGAGGAGGAAGGGGAGATGAGGAGAGAGAGAGGAGAAGGGGGGATGAAGGCAGCCGGGGAGGATGAAGGAAGAGGGGGGCTGAAGGAAGAGGAAGAGGGGGATGGAGGAAGAGGAGGGGGGCGCGGGGAGGAGGAGGAGGATGGACTAAGGAAGAGGAGGGGGCTGAGGAGGAGGAGAGGAAGGCCAGGCACCGAGGAGAGCACCGTGCCAGCACCGCGGACAGCGCTGCCCCGCCTGGCCCCGGGCCCCCGTGCACCCCCCGGGGGGTACAAGGGGCTGGGACCCTGCAGCAACAGGGCACCCCTCAGCCCCAGGCCCGCCCACGGAATGGGTGATGTGGCCCTGCCTCCCCCTACCCTCCCCCGAAGGGCAGTTGATGCTGGAGAGAGCACAGCCGATGGCAGGGGGTCCTGGGTCAGGAACAGGTGGGTGCAGGCTTAAGGACATCACATCCGATAGCATCACAGAAACGTCCCCTGCAGGAGATCCAGGCCAGGTGCTAAGGGTCAGGCTGAGGGGTTAACCTACAGCCAAAGATGTGTTCATTCTGAAACCTACTGATGGCAATTAATGCTGCAGTACCTTTTGCCTGGCACAGGAGGACATTGCCAGGGTGCTGCCCTCCCTTTGGCAAGCAGGTTACCCAAAATCGCTGAAAGGGCTCCCTCGTTACTCACTCACTCCCAGTCAGGGGGAGCTCCTGGCCAGTCCCCGGCCCCAGGCCTTTCCCTGCCAACTGCTTCCCAGCATCAGTGCTGCCAGGGCTGCAGCTCAGACAGATCAGCCTCTAATCTGGGGAACAGCCTCTGGTTAATTATTCTGTACCCTCTGGGCCACGGCCAGGGTGACTCAGCAAGAGGCAGCCCAAGGCAGCAAAGACCAGCCTCTGTCCCCAACAGGGACACCCCACAGGGTACCTCCAGCAGGGCCCAGCTTTGCCCCATCTCCACTCCAACTGCAAGACAAGGCAGGAGGGGGCTGAGAGAAAAATGTCCTCCCACATGGGAAAGTGTAGGGGGAATCTGGCACACATCTCCCATCTCCTACCCCGAGGAGACCACACAGGTTCTGCCACTTGTGCCTGTGGGAAAAGGGAGACTTCAGGACAATCAGGACTCTGCTCCACAGCCAAGCTGCTGGCAAGGCTGCCTGCTCCACCACGGGACACCCTGTGCCAGGCAGAGCCAGTGAGGGGAGTCCAGGGGGCCTGGCTGCAAGCATATCCAACCCCCTTGCCACCCTCCCAGGCCTGGAATGGGGGGTACCTACCATCTGCCCTGGGGTGACAGGGGAGACTGGTCCCTGCCCATGCTTGAGGCTGGCACCCCACACCAGCCCAGGCACAAGCAACATGGGACGGGGTGGAGGGGTGGCAACAGCGGCACACGGGGCATTATTTAGCAATGTTCTTTTATTTCCAGTTTTAAGGTGAAAAGATGCCTTTAAATCTTCAATTAAATACTCCATAAAGAAAAAAAAAAAGGCAAAAAAAAATTATTTACAAATTCACGTGACCAGTAATTGAATCCTTGTTTTAATAATTACACATGCGGCTCATCACATCCGGCGCTCTATAAATACAGGGGACGCGGATGGGGGGGCCGCCCTGTCACTTGCCCAATTGTGGCCTTAAACGTTTGGGAGGAGGATGGGGGCTTTTGGGGTGTTGGAGGCGACTCAGCCTGGCCCAGAGAGAAGGGGCCACCCCCCCCACCCCACCCAGTTCCCGACACCCTCCCCAGGTGTCAGAGCAGGAGCTGGGGGGAATGATTTATATTTAAAATTTAAAAACCATAGAGGGGGAGGTCCAGGCAGTGATGGAGGAATAGAAAGAGGACAGGGGAGGGGGAGAAATCACGCTCCTGTCCCCAAACCAAATTTAATATGTTCATATATATATAATCTCTATATTTCAGCAAGAAGGGGGGAGGAGAAAGAGGAGGAGGAAGAGGAGGGGAGAGCTATGTCCCCATCCTATCCCCCCTCTCCATGACATGAGTCCAGGGGTGCTCTGCCCCACTCCCAGAGACCCAGTGTGCCTGTGCTGGGAGGGGGGTAAGGAGGGTCCCCAAGGGGACCCATGGCAGCTACCGCCTCTGTCAGCATCCGTTTATTATCATCATGACAAACTAATACAGGCCTCACAAACAGAACCAGGACAGAGGAAGGAAGGAGAGAACTGAAAGAGAGAAGGGGGCTGCAGGGGGCACAGCAGGTCCCTCAGCCCTGGCATCAGCAAGTCCATGGGTGGGAGAGGATGGAGTCACTCCCCAGGGTGCCCCGCTCTCTCTCCCCACTTTCTCCTTCTCCTCCTTACAGCTGCTCAGTTGTTGTCCGACTCATCCTCGGCTTCACGGAGCCAGGTGAAAAAGGCTGTCACCGATTTGAGAGCTACCCCTTTGCCCTGCTGCTCTGCTGGGTCCTTGCTGGACTCCCACTTGTAGAAAGCCTCCTCCTTGATGACGTCCTCATCGTAGAGGGCATCAAAGAACATCCGCAGCAGGTCTGGGGGGGACAAAGGGGGACCTCTGCCATTCTCCAGCCACCAGCCAGCCTGCTGGGGTGGGGACACACCTGCCACCCCCCTTCTCAGCCCACCCACACCCCACACTCACTGGGAGGCTGGTCTAACTTCACCACCAAGGCTTGCAGGGCGTAGAGCGCCTGGAGCTCCTTCTGTTCATCCCGTAGGTACTTCTGCAGCAGCTTGGCTTGATTGCGGATGACCATGGTGTCTACGCGGTATGGGTTCTCGACTACGGGAGATGGGGCGTGAGAGGGAGGCAGTGGGAACAGGGGAAGCCCCCCCAACTCCTGCCGCACCCTGGTACTCACAGACAATGGCCGAGTGACACACAGACGTCATCAGGGCCCTGATAAACGTGTTGGACGAGACCTGCTGCTCGCTCAGGTTGGCCTGGAGGGGGGAGGGTAGAGGACCGTGAGCTGGAGAGGGAGCCGGGAGGGAGCCCCCAGACACACAGCACTACACCCACATCCGCACCTCAATCCAGTCGTGTATTCTTTGGTTGTTCGGGTTCTCCTTCAGCAGTTTGTCCATTTGCTTGCACAGCTCCTCTGAGGTCAGCTCCTTGCGGCTCGGTGTGTCCGAGCTGTCCCCCATCGTGTACTCCAATTTCTAGGGAAGCAGGCAGAGAGAGCTGTTAAAGGCAGCACAGGGGAGCACCACACTCCCAGAAGGGTCCTTCAGGGTCCCCTGACAGCCCACCTCCATCCCTCACCACCACCAAGCTCCCACCTGCTCTGTGACAAATTTGTTGACATCCTGGTCCTCAGGCAGGAATTCCTTCCAGCTCAGGCCCCCATCCCGCCACAGCTTGCCTGCTGTCTTCTGGCTCTGTGGGACAGTCAGTCAGCATCAGCACACCATGCCTTCCCATCTCCAGGAAGAAAGATACTGCAGCTTGGTCACACCACCCCCATGACCCAGACATTGCAAGGGATGCCACGCATCATCCCCTCTGGTGGCAGGGGGGCTCAATCCCTACATGGTCACCTGGTCCCCAGGTAGGCTGCCAGTCCCCAAGGCAGCAACCGGCAGTCACATGAGCCCCGTGAACTTACCATGCCCTTGCACAACAAGCCCAGCACCTCAACAAGCAGCGTGGTGGCCTTCCCAATGGGCACCAGGGGCTTTGTGATTTCCCTGTGGGGCATAAGAAACCTGGCTGAGCTACCTGTCACGAGGAGCCCTGCCATGCCAGCCCTGCTGAGGAACACAGCCCTCACCTGAACAACTCCTCCATAGGGATGCCTTCCTCTTGCAGGATGGGGGTGATGAGCTCAGCCAGGTACAGCCAGATGTGCGGGATGTCAATCTCCATGTCCTCTGCAATCTCCAAGATCTCC